CTCATTCTCGCGCAGTAAATGCTCTGTTTAACTGTTTTCTTGCTAGTGAAATGCTCAGTTTTTTCACTTACACTTACTTTACGTCACGAAAATAGCAAATTGGCTCATGGCGCGACACAACTGGCTCTTAAAGGGAATGTGAGATGAGACTCGGTTTGTTTTATTCTCAAAACACACCTATAACTCATTACGAAAATAAACTCTCTTTTAGACCATGCGCCATGGTGCAAAGTGGATTTTTCCGTCCTTAAATTAGCAAAAGTGTATTCTGACATGCCCTAAGAGCGTTTGCGCCCTGCGTTTTGCACTTTGCGTATGGACTGTCAAAATAGAGCCCAGAGAGTCTAAAACCATTTTGTATTAGCAACTATTTTCTTCCGCCATTCATTCACATCTGCAGCTGAGGTCAGAACAGCAGAAGCTATTACTAATTCACCAACGTCACTTTAGAGCTATAGCGTAATGTAAATAGCATATAGCATAAAGCGGCACTTCTGGTGTGTGACCCCCTTAGAGTGATGACAAAACAGCAAATTTTGCTCACATTTTAAGATTAAAAGGCTGAACATGACATGAAATGCCATCCGTCCACAGAGATTTCTCACTAGACTGCTGTTGTGTTTGCGATAAGGAGGGACAAGGCTGAATCCAGCTTCTTATTCGCAGCTTCTTTTTGACTATCCGGTCCACCTTAAAAACCACAAGGCTTCAGATTTTCAGCTTTTTATTCGCGATTAAGGGAACACACTGAGCAAGGGCTTATTATGCGGTTCTGGCACCATCTTGTGGATAGACAACATCAACCGTCTTTGACCGTGAATATATATATATATATATATATATATATATATATATATATATTCTTTATATTATTTACAAAAAAAACATTGTATATAATATAATATACATATGTATAATAATATAAATAATATATTGTATGAATAATTGTTATTACATGTATATTGTGTCACAATAATGTGCCTCGACCAAAATATAAGGCTTTTATTTTGTTGTTGAATATTCAGCATTAGCACATTGTGATCTAGCATTACGCAAGTGAAAATTAAAACAAAGTAATGGCGAGATGGCTTTGGCGCTTTACTACTGTACTTATTTTCACATCAGACAGATGGTATATTTTGCTTTTAACCGCCCCGGCGCTGCAAGAGTCGGTTTCCATTCTCAGACTGGTTATGTTAAACTTGTTAAAACTAATGACTCCCCAATTTCTTATACACCTGTGAAAGAGAGAGTCTCCCGACCAGCACGCGTCTAATGAAAGGAGGAATTTTGAGCTTCAGTGGTTTAAGTCGAAAAGCAATTACAGCATTGAATTAGTTTTCAAATTAAAAAGCAATTGAAAAGGCCCAGGGGTTAACCGTTTCCTGCACGGTCATCTCTCTCACTTTTACACATAAAGAGCATTTAATCCCGTTACAGAATGACACTCGTTGAAAATTGAAGGCGACAGAGTTGACATGCAACTCTTTTTGTCTTCGTCATCCGTCCGCACGCTCTCCGCTTGTTCAAAAATTGATGTAGCCCTATCAGAAGAGGCCTTAATTGTTTTTCTTCTCCCTACGCTCATTCTTTCCTTTTCCTCTTCCTCATGGGGCACACTGACAGATTCTGCTCTGAAACTTAATGAACTTTGAAATAGAACTCTCAGCCACAATTATCCCCTCATAGGTGTGTTGTCACGAAATGATGGCACTATCTCCGCACAATTACTGAGAAAGCTGTGGCTAAACATGTGGCCGACCTCTTCGGACCTGCTTTCTGGGTCGTGCTGGCCATTAATATTAAATGACAGAAGCGACTGGGACACTGGAGCCACGGAGTGACATTAACGCAGAATGACAGGGTGACATTTTGCCCACGTCGCAAGGAGCTTTATCCTGCGTTTCTCTATTTGGAGGCCTCTAATTGCTCGCTCACATTTTGAGACGGTGTGAGACAAGCTCTCAGAAATCGATAAACATGTTTTGGGGACTAAAGGCCATTCGGACCCCCACCCGCATCACACTCACGCAACACACATTTCACACTCACACACGTTTAGGATCAAACTGCTGTTTTAAAACACGCCAGTTAAAGCACGCAAATGCAGGCAAGAGAAGGAACATTTGAAGTCGCTATTGTTTTGGTCATAGCTTTGAAGTAAACGAAAGTTTTTCCATATCACTCTTCATTTGAAATTGTTTTGCTTTTAATAATACTGCACAACATTTTGTTTTATGGAAATTCAATTAAAGTATTAAAGAATAATTCAAGTGTGGTTCCCAGAATTAAAAACAAACCCAGATTAGTGAACATTAAACAAAGACCAACAGTGAAAAAAAACAACAAAATGGACAAACACACATAAACCATGACAAACAAACCAGAAAGAGACAGATAATAATACAACTGACATTAATCCCTTAATAACGTACCAATTTAAGCATGGATCAACTAAATTAAAACGTCAACGATTATGAAACAAATACACTACCTGACAAAAGTCTTGTTGCCTTTGCAAGTTTTATAAACAACATAGTAGTTGATGATTTGGTATCATAAGTGGCTTATATGAAATTCAAAGGCCTCTAGATTGTGTTTATTGAACTAAAATAAAATATGATATTTTCTTGATTTTTAGCTATTTAATGAGGACAGTAAGGTCTGACTTTGCTCAGACAAAAGTCTAGTCACTTAACAGAAATAATGTACAGTATAGACTATAAAGTCATGGTGCAGTGGAAAAAGAATCAATATTGTGTATGACTCCCGTGAGTTCTGAGGACTGCATTCATACATTTCTGCAATGACTCAAATAACTTGTGAATATAGTCATCTGGAATAGCAAAGAAAGCGTTCTTGCAGGACTCCCAGAGTTCATCAAGATTCTTTGGATTCATCTTCAATGCCTCCTCCATCTTACCCCAGACATGCTAAATAATGTCCATGTCTGGTGACTGGGCTACCAAATAGTGGAGCACTTTAACCTTTTTTGCTTTCAGAAACTGTGATGTGGAGGCTGAATTTTGAGGAGCGCTATCCTGCTGAAGAATTTGCCCTCTCCTGTGGTTTGTAATGTAATGGGCAGTACAAATGTCTTGCAGGCTGTTGATGTTCCCATCCACTCTGCAGATCTCTCGCATGCCCTCATACTGAATGTAACCCCAAACCATGATTTTTCCTATACACTAAACTTATTTCTGTGAGAATCTTGGGTCAATGCGGGTTCTAATAGGACTTCTGCAGTATTTGTGATGATTGCGATGCAGTTCAACAGATGATTCATTGAAAAAATCTACCTTCTTCCACTTTTCCAAATGATCAACTAGAAGTCGAATTATTATTTGTTGCTCTTATAATTGAAATTGTCAGATAGTGTTTATCACAAACTACAACAGCATGTTCAAAACATACATACATTATACATTAAACTTAACATACATGCATACACACATACAATACATGCATTAAAGTGTTGCATTACAAAATTATGAAAGTACTTAATAATTTGTAACGTTGATATAAACAATTTTGTACAATAATTAATAATTTCACTTATAATGTGGCAAGGAGGGGAAGAGGAGATTATTACAACAATTGTAAAAAACTAAAAACTAATTCATTATATACAAGCTATTTAATATTTTTGTTGACTGCTACATTTAATGCATCATGTTGAGTATTTTCCTTTCAAATATTAACCCCTTTCACACAGTATTACTGGTAAATATCCGGGAAATTTCCAGAGTGACTTTACCGGTAAATTAAAAAACGCGCTGTTCACAAGGGCAAGGAGGTTACAGAACTTTTAAGGAAAAGACCGTTCACACATCCATTCCAATATACTGGTAAACTCTGGCATCATTAGCCATAAATTATCTTTGAACAGATGTGCTTGTATTTGTAAACAGAAGGGTTTTGCTTTTGTTGATAGTTTCACTTATTTAAAGCTTTAGCATTCATGCAGCTGTGTCCCAGGTACATTCAAAAGCAGAAGCACAAGCCATAGCTAAATGTTTACACATACAAACATTATCTGACTGACTACTAGCTGCTTAATGTATCTGGAAAAGCATGTTATAAACGTGAACATGCTCTTTCCGGAAATTTTCCCTCTAAGTTTACACAGAGCAGCATTCTGGCAAATTACCGATAATGTTACAGCTTCTCTTCCCGGAAAATTCCCGTAACGAATTTACTGGTATTTTCAAAAAATGCTTGTTTACACATGATCCCTTTCCAGAAAATTTCCGGTAATTTTCTGGAAAGGTCTGTATGTGTGAAAGAGGCTAATAATACATGATTTAAAATTCATTCATTCATTTTCCTTCAGCTTAGTCCCTTATTTATCAGGGGTCGCCACAGCAGAATGAACAGCCAACTATTTTGGCATGTGTTTCATGCAGCGGATGCCCTTCCAGCTGAAACCTAGTGCTGGGAAACACCCATACACACTGTCACATTCACACACACACACTCAAACACTATGGCCAATTTAGTTTGTTTAATTCACCTATAGTGCCTGTCTTTGAAATGGGGGGGAAACTGGAGCACTCGGAGGAAACCCACGCAAACATGGGGAAAAAATGCAGACACCATGCCACCTAATATATTTTAAATAATATAAAATAATGAACTTTACCATCCATTTATACCGATAAATTCGACTTTAACAATGCCCAGCTGTAGAGGCAATGGGACATAATGACAGAGACAAGGCAGACGAGCCCTCATTACTGAGCAGATTTTGTATGGAGAGCAGAATCAGGGCTGAAGAAGATGAGATAGCGAAGGTGAGAAAGAGCCCGGGATCCGATGTGACGTTTGGACATGGCTCTGACACATGCAGTCTGAATCACGGATCAAATGGCCACCGCTTGTGCGTGTTTGTTCCTAGCGACTCGGACAAACAAGCGCAGCTGCTTTGTGACAGAAACAGAGCGATTATGCATGCATTAGTGTTTTGATTCACGCTTGTTTACCTCTCTCTCTCTCTGCAGGCACTTCTGTAATGCAGGTAACGGCCTTTGACGCTGACGACAGCACCACGGCGAATGGACTGGTGCACTATCGCATCCTGAGCCAGACGCCTCACATCCCCATTCCCAACATGTTTACAATTAACGGAGCCACCGGAGAGATTAGCACCATCGCAGCGGGCATCGACAGAGAGGTCAGTTGCGTCTCTGGTTTTGACGGACTCTTAAAAGCAAGCAGGCTTCCAAGAATCATCTGCGGTTGTGTTTCCTATTTCTAAGAATTGTTGATTTGTGGTTGTGATGCATTTGGTATTCTCTTCTTGTAATGGAAGGCATCGTTTACTCACCCTGATGTTGTTGCAGTGGCGTATATGCTATTTTTTTACCACAAAAGAAGGATTCTTAAAGTGTTCATGAAATCAAAATGCAGTTATTGATATATTATTGTTAATGCTAATACACTGAAAAATCTGACCATCTGAATGCAAAATCTGACCATCTAACTGCTTCCACTCTGGAACTGCTGTCCTTCTCTGATTATATCAGTTTGACAGATATGCTTGAAATATAGTTACGCATGTCCAATCGTCAGTTTGCAGCAGGTGAAAGATGAGAGAAGGAGCATAAAAATGAAATCCCAGTCCGACTCTGTATTTTGTTTTGGTTAGCAATATGTCATCATACTAAAATAAGAGTCTGTTGCAACTACCGGTTCAAATGGTTTTTAAAGAACCCCTATTATGCATTAAAAAAGTAATATTTCTGGTTTTGGGGGTCTCCAACGACAGGCTGATATGCATGCAAGGTCAAAAAACACTTTCATTGTCTTATAATATGCATTTATTTTTACCTTATTATCCCAACGACTCCCAAATTATTCGTTCAGCGATTCATTTGTTCCCAAATCCTTCCTTAATGCGATGCTAATCTGTGCTGATTGGTCCTATGACCCAGTCTGTTGTGATTGGTCGACTGCGTTCAGCACAAGACAAAAGGTGCGTTCGAATTTATGTAGCGCTGCGCAAACCGATCAAAATCTGTCTTAAACCGGTGCACGATGGTTAGAAATTTTGTCCGGATTGATGCTGCGCTGATACCATGTGACTGTCACATGTGGCATCAAAGTAGCACGACAGCGCTCCGAGATCAGACGGCAGACTCAGCCAGTGCAGCATCTGAAGAGCAACTGCTGGATCTGCGATGACGACACGGATATTACACGATTGGCCGAGTTCACCGCATGACAAAAACCACATGTGTTTTGGGTTTATTATTGGACAAACTCCCTCTCACAAAATTCAAAACAAACATTTAACTTTTTATACAATCTCTATCTTGTACACATCATGCTTATTAAGACTAAAAATATTTCACTGCAGTATCATCTTTTGTTCAATAATTTGTTCATAAAGACTAGATTGTTTACACAGGTTTATTCTAGCTTTTTATGCAGACTATTCACTGTATTCAGCTCCATAAATTATTTAAATAATACATTTTAGTAATTAGCCTATATATTAACTCAAATAGGTATTAAAGACTTGTAATTAAATAATTATCATCATTAATCTTGAAAAATTTCATAACAAATTAAGTAAAAAAAATATTTTATTAAATATAAAAAAAAATGTATCAAAAAATATTTTATTTCCTGTCTAGCCGTTTTTGCAGAAATGTTGAGTGACATGGATTTCTACTTAAAGTGTAAATTAGCTCATTTATTTTGCTCCTCTTGTTCAATTTATTTTTGGATTAAAGTACTCTTTTAAAAATGCTTTTTTTTTGTCCAAAATATCCCAATTCGTGGTGATTTATTTCCTTTTTATGTGCCCTCTCGTTTCCCCCTATATTTCTCATGCGTTTGTTATAGGCTACTTAAATTTATTTCTAATTATATATAATTATATTATTAACTATAGTTTGGAGAGACTGTATTCTGTTTTATTTGTACGGCAAATCTTTTATTGTTATAAATAAATTAATGATGATGAAACCATGTGATTCGGTCATGACTGCAGCAACATTGAGTCCCGAAGTGTCCGGCCTGATGGCTCCATTTTCAACTCCGCCCCCGTTTGCGATCGGCTAATCTCGTTGATCACCGGCTTCAGCCGTGCTTCATGTCGAACACACCTAAAGAAAAAATGCCCACCACCACTTATCAACATTGTTGAAGTAGTCAGAGTGCAGAATATATGTGCGAATTAGAAATTATTTGGAGTAAATAGTTATTATTTGGTGAACTATCCCTTTAAATTTGAAAAATGTTAGCATATTCTTACAAACACCTTTCAGAGTATTTGTTCCATGAAGAATGTCTTGTCCTCCCTTTGTGTCACATCAGCATTCTAATGTAATTAGTTGTAAGCTATAGTGTGTATGAGCATGCTTGGTATGGTCCCTAGTCTCCAGTGAGCAACATTTTGAAGAGACACTCTTGCACTATAACAAACAGTGCTTTTAGAATCAACTTAATGATCAGCCTGTCCTTTGAGCTGTCGGTGACCTTTTCAAGCTGAAGTGCAGTGATCTGCCCTCCCAGAACACCCCATCAGAGCAGGACAACATCCTGCTGCAGCGGCTCTAGTGGCAAAAATACTGCAAAGATCAAGGCTGAATTTCACTTCAGACACACTCAAAGAAAGAAGAAAAAAAAAAAAAGATTCTGTGAAAAAAGATGTCCTGGTTGAAAGTTGCCTGTACCTCTTCTTTTAAAATCCATTCAGCCCTTTAAAATACACAACACAATTCTGTAATTTTAAATACAGGTTAAATGGGACAGAAAAACATTTTGTGCTTTTGCATGCTGCTTTGATTGTGTCCATTCTGTTTAGCTTGCAAAAAAAAAAAAAAGTGTCTGCGCATCCCAAAGCTAAAATTTCTAAAATGAAAACCCAAACATGTGCAGGATGTAAAGTAGGTGGATTTAGGTGGTCATTAAAATTTCAGAGGAAGCTGAGGAATATTAAAGGGTTAGATCATTTACAAAAATGAAAACTATGTCATCTTTTACTCACCATCTGCTTATGAAAAAAAAATTATTGAACATGAAAAAAGATATTTTGTTTCTACTACTGGTTATCAGCTTTCTTCAAATCTTCCAAAAAAAAAAAAAAACTAAATAAGTTATATCACTGGATATTTCATTCACAAAAAATAAATGATAATTTTTTTTTTTTAAAGTTAGGCTATTGATTGTTCCGAACCTGTATGGCTTGCTGAGTAACTTAAAATAAAGTGTTTCGAATAAATACACACCAGAGACAGTTGAAGCTTCAAGCATGAGTGATTTACATGTCAAGTCAATGCCAAGATGCAAATAGACATCCTGAGGTGCGATTCTCATTACTGAGGTGGTGTGACCAACGCGATTAGTGCAAATGAAGTGGTGCGAGTTGAGCGTTTTATGCGTTGGACGTGTCTTGTGCGAATTGCTCGAGTTGGAAAATCTGAGCTTCAGTGGACATTTGCGTCGAGTTAACCAATTAGGAGCTTTTCTTGTAGGGGTGTGATTATGTTGTTTGTGTCCCAAGGGAAAATCCTTTTGCCGACACCTGACAACAGTTCATAAAACTAAGCTCGGCTCAGTCAGAAGCACCTCTGAAAGCCTCCATCATCGAGGCATAGTTTCTTGAGGAGTTGCTGAATGCATAGAGCTGGGTGCACCTCTGAAAGGATCTAGTGAAATGAATCTTTTCAGCCCTCCTAAAGCACATAAACAATTACCTGAATAAAATCCATGTTAGCCGTTTAGCAATGAAGCTAGAGTCACCGGGCAGACAGAAGCCCTGCCCATGACACAAATCCGCATCTATTGTGAAGTAATTTTGACGTGCGAATGAATTACATTTGAAGCGTAAATGAAGCGAGTAAACCCAAAATCTTCACGCATCTATTTGCACGCGAATAGCACGATTTATTTCGCATGACGAGTCTGGTGTGAACACAGCATTAGAATTTTTTTCCCTGAGTCTTTGAACTTTTAATGGAACGATGTGAAGACTTGAGAGATTTAGGGCTTACTCACACTATGCCATCCGTACCGTGCCCAGGCCCGTTTCCCGGATCGTTTGAGAAGTGTGAGTGAGCTGAATTGGGCTCAAGCACGGTTCACTTGGCCGGCCCTGGCCCGGTTGGAAGAGGTGTGCCTGAGCGCGGATCACTTGGGCTTTCACCGAAACTGAAAGCGATACGTGACTTTTAAGGGGCTGTTTCATATGGGTTTATTAATCATTCTTACTGTTCAGTGAACGCAAACTGCCGTAGTATATTACAGACGCAAACTCCTCACTGCACGTCAGCTGCGCGCCTTCAGCAGACCTCCTCATTCCTGCAGCACGAGAGCTTTGACTGTTTATGAGCGCCAAAAGTGGCGGATCTGTCCGGTAAAATATCTGACTGCGTGTCACCGCATCCCTAAGGACTGTTTGGCGAAATATTTGACTGCATGTCACTGCATAACAAACGACTGAAAGGATATAACTAGAGAAATCACCACTGTGCTACTGGTTGAGAGCGTATGGCAAGCGGTTTAGCATTTAAACCATGTTCTGACTATCCATAAATATATTTAGAGATATCTCTAATTATATTTTGACTTGTCATAATTATAATTCGACTAGTCAGATTGAAGATATCTGCAAATATATTCACTTACTAGTCATATTCCTCCATTGACTTCCATTGAAAAATATTTGCAGATATCTCTAAATAAGTTTTGACTAGTCACAATTGTAATTAGATATATCTCCAAATCAATTTTTACTAGTCAAAAATCCATTTTAAGATATCTACAACTGTAATTCGACTATTAGTAAATTAATTAGAGATATCTTCATATATATTTGTAAATATCTCTAAATATGATGAATTAAAGATATCTCTAAATGTATTATGACTAGTAAAAACTCAGTTAGAGATATCTCTAATTACAATTGTTACTAGTCAAAATTCATTTGGAGATATCTCTAATTACAATTGTGACTAGTCAAAACTCATTTAGAGATATCTGCAAATATTTTTCAATGGAAGTCAATAGAGGAATATGACAAATCATAATATATTTGCAGATATCTCCAATCTGATTTCGTACTAGTACAATTGTAATTGCAGATATCTCTAATTGTCATTCTGAGTAGTGGAATTATAATTATGACTACAGTAGTCAAAATATAATTAGAGATATCTCTAAATA